ATGGAGCTCCAGGTAGTGCAGGGACGTCAGACAGTGATTGGTTATGTTAGCATGCTACAAAAAGCATCGTTGGTGACGGAGGGCCATCGTTTGCGTGGGGATGGATGGTTATTCAAACAGGATAATGCTGTAATCCACGCTGCATGTTGAACCTTGACCTTTCTACAAGAAAATGGGGTCCATCCCTTGAGACATCATGCATGCTCACCGGACTTGAACCCAATTGAAAATGTTTGGGGGTGGATGGCAAGAGATGTTTATTGAAATGGCAAACAATATTCAACAAAAAATGAACTTCGTAAAGCTGTCTATTCAGAAGCTGGAGCAATATTCCTCGCAGCTTAATGGAAACAGTAATTTCTAGCATGCCCCAAAGAATATTAGAAGTCATCAAAATCAGTGGAGGTAGAACTCATTATTAAATTTGGTTGTTGAATGTTTTCATACATTTTTCGTACAATTTTGTAGAATTTTTGTCCCTGATCTTATAATTTTGATCAAGTGTAAAATGCCTCATTTTATAAAAATGTCAATTTCTCAATAAAATGTTCAGATTATAACTTTTTGTCTACATAACCTTTTAGATTATAAAATTAGTAACCTTAAGTAAGAAATGTTTAAATTTGTTCCATGAAAAACAGTCTTTTTAAAAAAAAATTTCAAGTGGTGTTAAATTTTTGATCAGGAGTGTATGTATTAATTTTTCACTATTACGTGTGAGCCGTGTACCTTCGGGACGTGGACGGTCGTGGCTCTTCACAACTTCTTGTTTCTTGTTGCCCTTGCCTCTTTATTATCTGTCCTTGTCTTTGTTTTGCCATCCATTCACAAATATTCATTAGTTGACTTGCTCGCTGTTTTTGTATACCCCTCACCACGATGCGTCTTGTGCGAATTAAATTCCTCATTCATTCTATGTATATGTATCTGTCATTTTTAAATGCACTTAATTCAGTGGAGAATATTAATGGCATTCATCGAACATTTATTATACAATGAAAATTTCAGATTAAAAATTCAATTAATAACCATGTAAGAGGCCAAGGATTTATTAACCCACCTGTGTGTGTGTGTGTGTGTTCGATATAACGATTGACCTCACGTACTAGCGAAAATCGAATTAAGCTAAAAACCGTCCAATGCCCAGCGGCAGATTTCAATATCATTTTCATTGATACCCCCACCCAGCGGAACATTAAGTCTCGGTTTCCCGTATTGAATTACTGGCTTAGTCTCCCGAGCCAAAGACACAAGACCACACGGGTTCATCGTTTCGATCAATTACAGCCATTACTCCTATGCTTGCTTCAAAGAATTGACTTTCTCTATTCCTGGTGCTTCATATGAATACCTTTTATCAGGTTACGCTTTTCATATTCTCCGTATTTATAATGAGACCATTAATAAACTGACGCACCTCTACCTTTGTCTATATACAATTATAAGTATGTACATGTAAATGATATATAAGTGAACATTGAAGTCAACACTCAGAGGCGACAGGTTGTTTCATGCTGGACGCAATCGTCAGGCGTCCTGACGATTGCGTCCAGCACTAAACAGCCTGTCGCCTCTGAGTGCTGATTTCAATGTCCACTTTTATATTTATATAGACTAGGTGTGCTATATTTATGGGATAAAGTGCTCTATCACTGACATTGAGCACTTTATCCCATAAATATAGCTCACTTTAAAAACTATATTTCTTCATATATATATATATATATGTGAAAATATATAGAAAATAGGAAGGAACTGGTTAGGTAAATAATCCAAAGTCCCTTAGTATTTTAGTTATTATTTTTAAAAAATAGTGCTCGATACAAAAGTAGAGCATAAATATAATTATTCGCTCCATAAGAGGTCTCATGTTTCAAAAAAAGAGCCGAAAACTTCAATATAATCCATTAAATTAAATTGAGTTTAAATTAAATGGGCTCCGTTCCATCTTCAAGCGAAATTTTTGTTGGAATAACGTATATCTGAAATTTACTTGTTTTAAAATTGAAATCAAAATCTCCATGGTAACAGCAAGGGCGAATTGTTTAAATTGGGGAGGCGAGTGTAGGGTGTTAATAATAAGTATCGGTATAGAGATACTTTCAAGATGTCAAGTCAGGGAAAGGTGGGGTGTCTAAAATGAAACGGAAGATGTATTAACCTTCGTCTAGTTTGCTTGTCTATGGAGATTTATTTATTTATTTTATTTTATTATGAAAGGAATTGTGCATATAAAAAAACAAAAACTTTCGTAACCTTTTGTTTTTTGACGACTTCATAAAGGGTTATCTATTGTGTAAGGTATTTAAACTACTTATTTGGGCTATGGATTATGAAGGGTGTTATGTTGTATGCATGTTTGTAGTTAATTATTCCTACTATGAATCTGATGATTGGGCTATTTGTTAAACAAGTTATAAATTTTTTTTATTTTTTTTTTTATCTAATAATTCAAACCAAAAATGATGATGATATATATATATATATATATATATATATATATATATATATATATAATTAAATAAAGAGAAAGAACAGTAAGATATATAATCCGGTGTTCTTAATATTTTTATTTTTACAAAACAGTGCTCAATGCAAATATACAGAGATATGTTTAATTAAAAAAAAATGATAAATTAAAAATACATATTTATATTTGATATTTAATTAATTTTTAAATAATTTAAGTAATTCTATTACATCTTATTTTTTTGAAACATGTATAGTCTATTAGTAATTGAAATTAAGAATAATATTTTAAAATTGTAGTTCAATACGACGTATTCATATACAAACTACCGTATTAGGAATAATCTGTATGTATACAACTACACATTTAACGGCGAAACAAAAGTGCCGGAAAACTTTTTGGTGTTGAAAAAGACCACACGACATGCGTTGAGAGGATGTCATCATTCTTTGGAAAAAGCACCTCTACCCTACCTTGACCTAACCTCTTTTCGAAAGTAACTCATATTTTGATACAATAGTTGTCAGTGAAAATGAATACCTTACCACCCCTGGTTAAAATGATTGGATTTCCCCGTATCCTTAGAAACTAATATTATGAATGCATGTGCTTATAAAACTCAGTAAATTTCAAAATAAGTTACACCAAAATTCGCTTGAAAATGAAACAGAACTAGGGATTGAATTTGAAGTTTTTAGTTTCTGTTTTTGAAACATGGTAATTCTTGTGTAGCGATGGAACTATATTTTCAAATTAGTAAATTTATAATATATATATATATATGTGTGTGTGTGTGTGTGTGTGTGTGTGTTGTGAAAAGAGAACCACTATTGATATGAACAAAAATGAACTAATATCGCATATAGATAATGAAAACACTTAGATACCAACAGAGACAGAGACGACTGATTTGTTTTTTAACGGTTTATCAACCTGTGGTGGATTATTTAAAACACAAGACATATTTTCGATTGTAAGGCTAATTCTGTTCTTTCGAGTGAATACTGAATTAACAATATTTGAGAATAACAATGTTTTTTCCAGATACAAGTCCTACCATTTAGTTCATAGTTAGGGGGCGTGAACTTGATTCATACCCTTTCTCAGGGGTAATTGCGTGCAAAATTTTTTTTACCCATATACCTAATCAGACATGAATATGATTATGATCTCCTGAAAGACCTTGGCTTTCTCTGTTTTTGACGCTTCGTATGAATACATTTATCTGGTTACTCTTTTTAGATTTTCAGTATTTATAACTTTAATAAACTGTGCAGCTCTAAATTTGTTTATATACAATTTAAGCATGTATATCTAAATTTATTTATATATATGTGTGTGTGTGTGTATATATATATATATATATATATATAATATATATATATAATCACTTACATCTCTTTATATATTTTAAGGTTGTTTTTTAATGTAACTTTGTATTTTAAAGTATAACTATTTTTAAATATAATTTGTGTTTAGATATTACTTATTTTTAAATATAACTTTTTTATTTTATTTCTTTATTTTTTTCTTTTTAAATATATAAATTTTTTATCTTATATTTTTATTCTGATTTTTAATATATTTTATTTTTAAATATAACCTAGTTATTTTGTATTAAATATGACTTATTTTTAAATATAACTTGTTTTTGGAATATGACTTTTTGCGTCTAAGTATGATTTTGTATTTTTAAATATAACGTTATCCATATATTTTAAAGGTTTTTTAACCCCTTTTTATTCCTGTCTTAGTTTTAAATTAACATTTCATTCTTCATATAACGCCAGTTTAATGTCGTAAGGTTAACTTACGGGTTTAATTTTGTAAAACCTTTTCCCTTTAAGACAAATACCTTCCAACATCCACTGATCGCTCCCTCGTGCCTTTCGTCTGACTGAGACATTGAAATGGATAGATTTTGTATTATTTTCTCTACGTCTATTTTTTTCGACACGAACTCAGTCTATACCGGGGTTGAATAAGACTGACAAATTATATTTTCGTCGGTCGAAATAAGCTTATATGAGGTGATTTTGAATTTTATTGTCCTAATTTTTGCCCGAGGATCCACTTGGATTATATACCAACGGATTTATTACCTTTACTATATATATATATATATATATATATATATATATATATGGTGTATCAAAAATCATAACATAGATAAATAGATAAAAAATAGATCGATAGACACGAATAATATATCATGATCAGCAGTTTGAACAACATCAGTACGCTCAACCCCTCGGTCACGATGGCTTATGACTTCATGTTAGCACAAGTATCAACCGAATAGTTATTTCTACCAAATTCCACTCGCGGTGCTTTTGCACAACCTGTGGTTCTGATTTACAGGTATTTCCCAACGTCGCCGCTCACTGGCATCACTTCTCTAGAACGATAACAAGCAGTTATTGTCTTTATAAATCGAACATGATGAGATTCGAACCAGGGTCTCGTGATCGGTAAACGAATATTCTGACCACGATAGATAGATAGAAAAATAGAAAGAAGATATATATTTTTAAAAAAAGCTAGCTAGATAGATTGAAAAGAAAGAAAGGAAGAAGGAAAGATTGAGGGAAAGGAAGAAAGAAAGATTGAGGGAAAGGAAGAAAGAAAGATTGAGGGAAAGGAAGGAAGGAAGAAAGGAAAAGGAAGGAAGGAAGAAAGATTGAGGGAAGGAAGGAAGGAAGATTGAAAAGGAAGAAAGATTGAGGGAAAAGAAGGAAGGAAAGGAAAGGAAGGAAGAAAGATTGAGGGAAAAGAAAGATTGAGGGGAAGGAAGGATGAAAGATTGAGGGGAAAGGAAGAAAGGAAAAGGAAGGAAGGAAGATTGAGGGAAAAGGAAGGAAGAAAGAAAGATTGAGGGGAAGGAAGGAAGAAAGAAAGATTGAGGGAAAGGAAGGAAGGAAAGATTGAGGGGAAGGAAGGAAGGAAGATTGAGGGGAAGGAAGGAAGGAAGGAAAAAGATTGAGGGAAAGGAAGGAAGGAAGAAAGATTGAGGGGAAGGAAGAAAGATTGAGGGGAAGGAAGGAGGAAGAAAGATTGAGGGAAAAGAAGGAAGGAAGATTGAGGGAAAGGAAGGAAGGAAGATTGAGGGAAAGGAAGGAAGGAAGATTGAGGGGAAGGAAGGAAGATTGAGGGAAAGGAAGGAAGATTGAGGGAAAGGAAGGAAGGAAGAAAGATTGAGGGGAAGGAAAGAAGGAAGAAAGATTGAGGGGAAGGAAAGAAGGAAGAAAGATTGAGGTGAAGGAAGGGAGGAAGAAAGATTGAGGGAAAGGAAGGAAGGAAGATTGAGGGAAAGGAAGGAAGGAAGATTGAGGGAAAGGAAGAAAGAAAGAAAGATTGAGGGGAAGGAAGGAAGAAAGATTGAGGGAAAGGAAGGAAGGAAGATTGAGGGAAAGAAGGAAGGAAGAAAGATTGAGGGAAGGAAGAAAGAAAGAAAAGAAGGAAGGAAGAAAGGAAAAGAAGGAAGGAAGAAAGATTGAGGGAAAGGAAGAAAGAAAGGAAGGGGAAGGAAGAAAGAAAAGGAAGATTGAGGGAAAGGAAGGAAGGAAGATTGAGGGGAAGGAAGAAGGAAAGGAAGGAAGGGAGGAAGAAAGGGGGGGAGGAAGGAAGAAAAGATTGAGGGAAAAGAAGGAAGGAAGGAAGATTGAGGGGAAGGAAGGAAGGAAGATTGAGGGAAAAGAAGGAAGGAAGAAAGATTGAGGGGAAGGAAGGAAGGAAGAAAAATTGAGGGGAAAGGAAGGAAGGAAGAAAGATTGAGGGGAAAGAAGGAAGGAAGGAAGAAAAGGAAGGAAGGAAAAAAAAGGAAGGAAGAAAGATTGAGGGAAGGAAGGAAGGAAGAAAGATTGAGGGAAAGGAAGAAGGAAAAAGAAAGATTGAGGGGGAAGGAAGGAAAAAAAATTGAAAGGAAGAAAGATTGAGGGAAAAGGAAGAAGGAAGGAAAAAGATTGAGGGGAAGGAAGGAAGAAAGAAAAAGAAGGAAGGAAGATTGAGGGAAAGGAAGAAAGGAAGGAAAGGAAGGAAGGAAGATTGAGGGAAAGGAAGGAAGGAAGAAAGATTGAGGGAAAAGAAGGAAGGAAGAAAGATTGAGGGAAAGGAAGGAAGGAAGAAAGATTGAGGGAAAGGAAGGAAGGAAGAAAGATTGAGGGGAAGGAAGGAAGGAAGAAAGATTGAGGTGAAGGAAGGGAGGAAGAAAGATTGAGGGAAGGAAGGAAGGAAGAAAGATTGAGGGGAAGGAAGGAAGAAAGATTGAGGGAAAGGAAGGAAGGAAGGAAGATTGAGGGAAAGGAAGGAAGGAAGAAAGATTGAGGGAAAGGAAGGAAGAAAGAGAGGGAAAAGAAGGAAGGAAGATTGAGGAGAAGGAAGGAAGGAAGATTGAGGGAAAGGAAGGAAGGAAGAAAGATTGAGGGAAAGGAAGGAAGGAAGAAAGATTGAGGGAAAGGAAGGAAAAAAGAGAGATTGAGGGGAAGGAAGAAAGATTGAGGTGAAGGAAGGGAGGAAGAAAGATTGAGGGAAAGGAAGGAAGATTGAGAGAAAGGAAGAAAGAAAGATTGAGGAAAAGGAAGGAAGAAAGAAAGAAAGATTGAGGGAAAGGAAGGAAGGAAGATTGAGGGAAAGGAAGGAAGGAAGAAAGATTGAGGGAAAAGAAGGAAGGAAGGAAGAAAGATTGAGGGAAAAGAAGGAAGGAAGGAAGAAAGATTGAGGGAAAGGAAGGAAGGAAGAAAGATTGAGGGAAAGGAAGAAGGAAGGAGGAAAAGGAAAGAAGGAAGAAAGATTGAGGGAAAAGGGAGAAAGAAAAGAGGAAAAGAAGGAAGGAAGAAAGATTGAGGGGAAAGGAAGGAAGGAAGATTGGGGGGAAAGAAAGAAAGAAAGATTGAGGGGAAGGAAGGAAGAAAGAAAGAAAGATTGAGGGAAAAGAAGGAAGGAAGATTGAAAGAAGGAAGGAAGGAAGATTGAGGGAAAAGAAGGAAGGAAGGAAGAAAGATTGAGGGAAAAGGAAGGAAGGAAAGATTGAGGGAAAAGAAGGAAGAAAGAAAGGGGAAAAGGAAGAAGATTGAGGGGAAGGAAGGAAGAAAAAGAAGGGAAAAGAAAGAAAGAAAGATTGAGGGAAAGGAAGGAAGGAAGGAAAGATTGAGGGAAGGAAGGAAGGAAGATTGAGGGAAAGGAAGGAAGAAAGAAAAGAAAAGGAAGATTGAGGGAAGGAAGGAAGGAAGAAAGATTGAAGAAAAGAAAAATTGAAAAAAAAAGATTGAGGAAAGGAAGGAAGAAAGATTGAGGGAAGGAAGGAAGAAAGGAAGAAAGATTGAGGGAAAGGAAGGAAGGAAGAAAGATTGAGGTGAAGGAAGGGAGGAAAAAAGATTGAGGGAAAAGGAAGGAAGGAAGATTGAGGGGAAAAGAAGGAAGGAAAAGGAAAAGGAAGGAAGATTGAGGGAAAAGGGAAGGAAGATTGAGGGAAGGAAGGAAAAAGATTGAGGGAAGGAAGAAAAAGATTGAGGGGAAGGAAGGAAGGAAAAGGAAGAAAGATTGAGGGAAGGAAGGAAAGATTGAGGGAAGGAAGAAAGATTGAAAGGAAGGAGGAAGAAAGATTGAGGGAAAAGAAGGAAGAAAGATTGAGGGAAAGGAAGGAAGGGAAAAAGGAAGAAAGAAAGGAAGATTGAGGGGAAGGAAGGAAGAAAGAAAGAAAGAAGATTGAGGGAAAGGAAGGAAAAAAAAAATTGAAAGAAGAAAGATTGAGGGAAGGAAGGAAGGAAGGAAGAAAGATTGAGGGAAGGAAGGAAAGGAAAAGGAAGGAAGGAAGATTGAGGGAAAAAGAAAAAGAAAGATTGAAGGAAGGAAGAAAGAAAAGAAAGATTGAGGGAAAGGAAGGAAGGAAGAAAGATTGAGGGAAAAGAAGGAAGGAAGAAAGATTGAGGGGGAAGGAAGGAAGAAAGATTGAGGGGAAGGAAGAAAAGAAAAGATTGGGGAAGGAAAAAAAGGAAGAAAGATTGAGGTGAAGGAAGGGAGGAAGAAAGATTGAGGGAAAGGAAGGAAGAAAGATTGAGGGAAAGGAAGGAAGGAAGATTGAGGGAAAGAAAGAAAGAAAGATTGAGGGGAAGGAAGGAAGAAAGAAAGAAAGAAAGATTGAGGGGAAGGAAGGAAGGAAGAAAGATTGAGGGGAAGGAAGGAAGGAAGAAAGATTGAGGGAAAAGAAGGAAGGAAGAAAGATTGAGGGAAAAGAAGGAAGGAAGAAAGATTGAGGGAAAAGAAGGAAGGAAGAAAGATTGAGGGAAAGGAAGGAAGGAAGGAAGAAAGATTGAGGGAAAGGAAGGAAGGAAGAAAGAAAAGAAAGAAGGAAGGAAGAAAGATTGAGGGGAAGGAAGGAAGGAAGAAAGATTGAGGGGAAGGAAGGAAGATTGAGGTGAAGGAAGGGAGGAAGAAAGATTGAGGGAAAAGAAGGAAGAAAGATTGAGGGAAAGGAAGAAAAGAAAAGAAAGATTGAGGGAAGGAAGGAAGAAAGGAAGAAAGATTGAGGGAAAAGGAAGGAAAAAAAGGTGAAGGAAAGGAAAAAAGATTGAGGGAAAAGAAGGAAAGAAGGAAGATTGAGGGAAAGGAAGAAAGAAAGAAAGATTGAGGGGAAGGAAGAAAGAAAGAAAGAAAGATTGAGGGAAAGGAAGGAAGGAAGGAAGATTGAGGGAAAAGAAGGAAGGAAGATTGAGGGAAGGAAGGAAGAAAGATTGAGGGGAAGGAAGGAAAAGAAAGAAAAAAGGAAGGAAGGAAAGAAAGATTGAAGGGAAGGAAGAAAGATTGAGGGGAAGGAAGGCAGGAAGAAAAAAGATTGAAAGGAAGAAAGATTGAGGTGAAGGAAGAAAGATTGAGGGGAAGGAAGGCAGGAAGAAAGATTGAGGGAAAGAAAGAAAGATTGAGGGAAAGAAAGAAAGAAAGAAAGAAAGATTGAGGGAAAAAAATAAAGAAAGAAAGATTGAGGGAAAGGAAGACAGAAAGAAAGATTGAGGGAAAGGAAGGAAGAAAGATTGAGGGAAAGGAAGGAAGGAAGAAAGAAAGATTGAGAGAAAGAAAGATAGATAGATAGACTGAAAGATATTAACTATAAATGAAACACCTCGCTGTTAATCAGTAATAGGTCCCACTACAATTAATTCAAGCTGAAATATCCGCATCCACTGATACTCAGTTTCTCGCAGGTAAAGTCGAACGTCTACTTGATTGATCATAGGACGAAGTGGAAAAAAAACTTGAATGAATAGATTTTCCTAAGATCGTTAACATCAGTCAACCTGTCCGGGAATCGCTGAGTACGAAACTGTTTCGTTCGTATTAGATTTCGTTAACATTGGTCCAAAGCCGGGTTTCTGCTGCTCACCGAGGAAGAAATTCGCTCACACCAGATAGCAT